CGTATGACAACCCCTCCATCCCAGGTGCCATTCTAGTAACCCTTTTCGGCCTAACCAGGGACCTATACAATGAAATTATAACATATTTAGACTTGTATTAAATATTTCTATAGATACAACCTATAATCTTATTTGTCCTAGCACTAGCAACAGCACACTACTTGGATGGCTTTAGAGACTGATCAACTATTACACCAAGATCCCTTTCTTACATAACACTGTTAATGTTATTCCCATCCAAATTATACTTATAATTCAAACTATGATAACCCACTTGCATTATCTTGCATTTATTATAATTAAAAAATATTTTCCATTTATTTGTCCAACTCACTAAATGATCTAAATCATTTTGTAAATCAGCAGCATCCTCTTCACAGCTAGCAACACCCAAGACCTTAATATCATTTGCAAATTTAAGTAATTTATTGACCATTCCTTCATCTATGTCATTGACGTAAATCAAAAATGGCAAAGGTCCTAAGACTGAGCCCTGAGGTACCAAACTTGTAACATTAATTCAGTTTGATTGAACTCTATTTGTAACAACCCTCTGCTTTCTTCCATCCATCCACTCTTGTATCCAATTTGCTAACTTATCCCCCACACCTATAGAGATAATTTTCTTACAAGCCTTTCATGTGACACTTTGTCAAATGTTTTCTGAAAATTCAGATACACCAAAGCTACACCCTTTCCCTCATCTACATAAGCAGTAACCTTTTCAAAAGATGTTAAAAGATTTGTAAGGCAAGCTTTTCCCTTAGTGAAACCATGTTGACTATCCAATAAAATTTTAAACTTTGCTAAATGATTTTGCAACGCGTTCTTTAACAAACTTTCCAAAACTTTTCCCACAACTGATGTAAGACTAATGGGTCTATAATTACTGGGACAAGTTTTATCACATCCCTTGGAAAGAGGAGTTACATTAGCTAACTTCCAATCCTCTGCCCACTATTCAAGGACTGACAAAAAATAGTAGTAGCCTCCTTCAAAACCCTTGGGGAAATATTATCTGGCCCAGGAGCCTTATCGTTTTTTAAACTCCCAATTTTTTCTTAATTAACCATCTCAGAATTAATGCACTCATCTTGTTTGATCTCGTTTCCATTTATCAACTGATCAAGATGTGGAATACTATATAAATCTTCGTTAGTACAAACCGAAGAAAAAGCAAAATTTAATAGCCCAGCCATCTCATAATCATCAGATACGAGCCTTCTTTTATCACCCCTCGAGGGTCCTACTCCCGTCCTAACATTTAACATTTAAAGAAATCATTACTGTTAATTTTTTATATTTCCAGCCAACCTATTCTCATATACTCTTTCCGATGTCCTGATTTCCTGTTTCACCAACTTTCTTGATCTCTTATAATCTTCTAAGTCTCCTGTCATACCAGACAAGCACTTGCATTCTCATCTGGATAAAATAAGTCCCCATGATCAAAATCACTGGCGCAAGCCTACTAAAAACAACTATATTCAATTAATCTAACAACTTTTCAACATCCTCCTTCCCCCATTCCTCAACACCTGACGTTTACGTATGTAAAGGTTAGTGACTCTAATATAACTCAAGGATCTTCAAGGTGAGGTTAATACATTTTCCATAATTCCTCAAATAAATCTAGAACACCATACCTATCAAGATCATATTTTCAATATAAAGATTACTTTTTCTGTAATTAATACCGCTTAGTAACAAACAGCTACTCAAGTATGGAAGCACGTTATGCTAATATGATAATAAGTTGGCAAACAACGATTTATAAGAATAATGAAGTGATTTATTCTTATAAATCGTTTTTGCCAACTTATTATTAGAATAACAAACAACTAATAGTCTCTTTCTTACAATTTGAATTAGTTTTAGTTTTTTTGCGTTAGAAGCGGCTTTTTTATATATCTTACAAGCCACGAATCATGTTCACTACATATTCGAACTCGTTCCAAAAAGTTATACAGATCCAAAATTGAGTTCAAGTTCAACTGCAGAATACGGTGAAGATGCGTCCTAAGAAATGCCCGGAAAGGCGTGTTTAAAAAGAAAGTTTCCGATGAAATAAGGAAGAGTTGACATACGTGGTTTAGATGAACTAACGTTTGTCAAAAAAAAAAAAAAATGAACGGTACTGAGTAATCTATATGGTTAATATTTTTAGAGCAGAATATAATATAACTTTCCAACAATCTACCTGTAGGGGCAGGCTGTACCCAGCACTACAATCCTTGTTTTCCTAACCCTTGTCAGAACAGTGGTAGTTGCTGGCCTAGTCTTGACTCATTTTTCTGCTCTTGTCGACCTGGCTACACTGGCGATCTCTGTGAAGGTTAGTATATTTTTATTTATGCAAAGTTGTAGCTGCAACTTTATTTGAATGCGAAAATGTATTGTGTATGTTTTCATACATAAATATAGCTTTGAAGAATAAAAACATAGCAATGCTCAATGTTTGAAAGTAATGAAAATCACTGTAGTGCATGTGAAAAGGCAAATAAACAGCATGACACAATTTTATGAAATAGAGAAAATGTGTGTTTGTTTTGAATTTTCGAGCAAAGCTACACGAGAGTTATCTGCGTTAGCCGTCCCTAATTTAGCAGTGTAAGACCAAAGGGAAGGCAGCTAGTCATCACCACCCACCGCCAACTCTTGGGCTACTCTTTTACCAACAAATAGTGGGATTGACCGTAACTTTATAACGTCCCCACGGCTGAAAGGGCGAGCATGTTTTGTGTGCTGGGGATTCGAATCCGCGATCCTCAGATTGCGAGTCGAGCTCCCTATCCACCTGGCTATGCCGGAGCAGAGAAAATGCACGGAACTAATCAAGTGTGTGTGTGTATTTTTTTATAGCAAGGCCAAATCTGACTATATAATGTGTCCACTGAGAAGAATCGAACCCCTGATTCTAGCGTTGTAAATCCTTAGACTTACCGCTGTCCCTCTAATAAAGTACACCAAAATTATGAAGCTGTTTTAATATGGAAATTTTCAATAATTACTTGAAAAATGACGGTTTACCTTTATTTTTGCACCACATGGTAATATAGTAGTGAATACTAAAAAAACTATCGTTAAAAAAATCATCATGTGGTAATATAATAGTGAATATATAAAAACTGGTTTTAAAGATATCCTCCATAACCGTTACTGTTATTTATATAAAGTGTTTCAAGTGGTACCATATCAAAAAAAAAATCGCCTATTTAAAAATCTCATATAATTATTATGGTTACTCAGTGCTAATAAAATAGTTATTATGATTTAGATTATAAAATATTAATTTCATATTTGAGTTATTATAATTATTAATAAATTGTTTAGCCCGAAGGCTATTCTAGCAATTACTACTTCTCTAACGTTTTGGTTTCCTTTTCAGTGGAAATGCTGTACCCTGCTAAGCCGTTAGCTCGCACCCTTGAAGATTCTGCTGGAGACAACCTCATGGATTCCGTGAACGCACCGATGGATCATCTCCACAACATGTACATCGCTGCAGCCACCCTTGCTGGAGCCTGCCTGATCGTGGCACTCGTAGTGACCTTTTGTCACTGTCGAGTCCACAAGACTTACCAAAGGCTCTTTACCGGGAGTTTTCATGGAGGTTCGAACTCTGATGTCAAACATCTGAGGCGGTGAGTTTAGGTTTTAACCTTTATTTGTTCTGTTTATTCTACGATATTCTTATCGTTTTGAATAGTTATTTTTAGAACATACCATGTATCCTTTAAATTTTCTTTTTATGATATCTGTCCTTTTGGCGTACTGCGGAGGTTTGAGTGCACTATAAGAGTAACTACTCGGTTTGGCAAGAGTAACCCAAAATTAGTGGTGGGTACTGTTGACTAGCTGCCTTCCATTTAGTATATCAGTTCCAAATTTGAAAGACTATGCGCAGATAGCCCTTTGTTTAGCGTAGCATAAAGTTCTGAAACATCAACAAAACATTTTTATGTTTTGCTGTTGAACGTTTGGTAAGCTCTTAAAAACAGCTTTAGTGTACGAAAAATTAATATTGACAACATCTAAAATGAATGGTGTTAGACAAATAACTTTTGTTACATTTTTCTGTACTAATAGTAACTTCAAGATGACTTTTCAGCAAGCTACTCCAAAACATTATTTGCCGGTATTAAAATCCTATTTTTACTTTTATAATATAGCACTTCAAACCGGCATAATCCATTTTTTATACATACTCACAAATGAGAAAGGTACATCACTTAATTTCTTTTGGCAAATTTATTTTCGTCTTCTCAAAAGTACATCTCCTTGGAGCTAGTTTCTAGTTTCTGAGTTCGGGAGCCACTATAATATTCTTAAGCTTTCATAGTTGAACATGTTTAATTCATAACCATTTTGTATTCGCTATGTTTGTCCTTCCATTTCTTTATGCTTTTATTGTCATTTTATATTTTTAGTACATTAACGTAGGAAGATGCAAATTTACACATTTACTTTCACTTTTTAAGATGTCTTGACTTTTTAAATTTTCTGTTTTTGAGTAGGGTATTTTGGTTATATTTATACAATACCAGTGAGTCATTCTTTTGTCGGATTTCAGAAAAAAAAAGACTAATTTACCCATTTTCCCTAGTGAAGACCCAGACAGATTTTTATTGAGCCTGCGTGGGAACGTTTCTAATTTCCGCCCTTGTCCCGACGGAGTCTACGAGGCCACAACTATTGATTTGTCAGAGAATCTTGATCGGCCACTCATCGACTCATAGAAATTCCGTTGGATCTTGCTTTCCGTCTCACCTTTTTCGTCCGTACTCCTGTGATTACGTCACATCCAGTGTTACCAATGAGGGTATTTTACCATACAGTTAGCCACTAGAGACATGCCAGATGAAATCTTTTACGAAACTGTCAACGATCATTAATTCTTCAAAATTATTTTTTAGTTATAATTACTTTTGCAATCCATTTCCTTGATATTTTTACCAAATATGGTCATTACTTTTAAAAATAATTAGAAAAATAATATGACTTTAACTTTTTTATTTTCTTAGAAAATGCTATTTTTACTTTCTGCTTTCTAACTGAGTTGTCGTCCATCCAATACTTCTCATTATCCCGAAGCTTTACATTGTTGTCTGAATCAAATTATATATAATCTAAATTTCTTATCTCGCATGAACTGAAATCACAATTTGTGAAAAGTTCTGGGTTTAATGCCTTATTTAGATAGGTGGAATGAATTTTTTCAACGTCAGGCTTAAATTTTTTTAGTTATTATTAGCAACCAATAAGTGTTTGGTAAAGAAACTATTTTAATCAAGCGAACAATTCACGTAATATATTAATTGCCAAATAGTCACTGTAGTGATCAGAATTAATAAAATCTATCTTAAAATGTTACCATAAGAAGAAAACACGATAAAATGTAGTCTGCATAATAACAAACAATGCTTTGCTGGTATTAAAATCCTATTTTTACTTTTATAATATAGCACTTCAAACCGGCATAATCCAGTTTTTATACATACTCACAAATTAGAAAGGTACATCACTTAATTTCTTTTGGCAAATTTATTTTCGTCTTCTCAAAAATACATCTCCTTGGAGCTAGTTTCTAGTTTCTGAATTCGGGAGACGACGACGGGTTGCCAGCAGAAATGTTCTTATACGATTAGGAATTGATTTACATCTTTACAGAGTAGATTTAACTACATGTCAGGTTATTATAGCCGTCTAGTACATTTCTAGTATAGACTAATGTATAATGATAGTTTACTTTTAGTATAGATATTATCTGTATCTGAATTAGGGTAGGCTTAATTCCATGGCACTACTATATTACAGTTCGTTTTACTCTTTCTTCGGAAAGTATGATAATTAAACTTGAGATTTATTTTGTATTATAAATAACAATAAGATTTGTTTCAAGCGTCCATATAGAATTTAAAAAGTATTTTTTTTCTGTCTCCGTCGAAAAAATTAAAAGTTTGTTTCAAAAGAAAGATATTTTGAAATAAATAAGTTACTTGTATTTAAATATTGTGTGTGTACTTAGTTTAAAGCATAAAACATGATAGCTAGTAGATTATCAGGTAGAACGATGTTAGAAACAACTATTATTAGACTAGTCAATTGTACTCTATAGCAACGGAGTCTGTCTATCTATTTAATTATGTGTGTTTA